GGAAAGAAAGAATGAAAATAAGAACAGGACAGATGAGGACTTTGAGAAGCAGTAAGTCAGAACAGGACTCACTTCTCAGTGCTCCTTGGGATGACAATACCCCATTGCTCTGAAAGAAAAGGGCAGAAACATCTATGAAGTACTTCTGTGCTTGAGCTACTGATCTATGCATTGTCTTATCGTATTTTTTAAAACTATCTACTTTACCAAACTGGTCACCAAATGAAGTGTTTTAATTAGTTTCTCTTGCCTACATCTTTTTACTTCTTAGTTGCATTTATTATGATTTATCACGTACCACTTTAATCTCCTTTAATCTGAAATGCTACCATTCCAGTAGGAAATGAACAACTTTATTACGTAACTCCACTAGGCAAAGTCTCTAAACACAACACTGAAAGTATTTCGGTAAAAATCTTATAAAAACCTGCCTACACAAGAAAATGTATTCTACTTAAAATCAATCTAGAACTGTGTAATTTTCAAATTAAATGTTTTATTGCCCGATTATCGTTTGCCATATAGAAGAAAGTTTAAAATTAGCAACTGAGACTTTTCTGACTCCTGAAACAGCATTTTCTCCTCTTTTCCCATGCTAATACATCTATTTGCTTCATTGCTTTAGTACCAAGTACATAAAGCTACATCAACTGAAATACGCAAGCCATTGCAATAAAATGGAGCAAGAAAATGTAATTCAGCCTTATTGCAAAGTCTTTTATTCTGCCCAAAAAGGATAACAATCAAACCTGTTCTTGCACATACAAACAGCAAAGATATGAAAACCGCATATTCCATTGGGCTCTCTCCTTCCATTTAATAAGTTACGCTTTAAGTCTCAAGCACACTGCTAAGAAATTTTTCCAAACTCAGAGTAACAGCAACATGAGCATCATTTCCACTGCCTCTACCCTGGAATAACCTTATGCATTTGGGACAGAAGCACTTAAAAGTTCCTGTGATACCAATGACCATTAAAAGACATGGATTTGTGAATTCATGAGAATATGCTACCTGAAGCATCAGTAGAAGGTAAAATGTACCTTGTTCTATTTTTAAAAAAATATCTCCATCTGCAGAATGCATGCCTGTTGACTGCATTCAACGCTGTTCACTGCAAGTACCTTCTAAAATGTTTCTAGTTTCTGTAATCTTGCCTAATCAAGCAAGGTGAGCAAATGGATGATGCAAGAGCAGAACAAATATTACGCCTATGCTTCAAAGGGACTTATCACCATGTCATAAAAAAATCCAGGGAAGTTTTGATGAAAAGGATGCTCCAGATGCATGGCTCCCTCCTAGCTTGTGGCAGCAATGAGTTGTATCACCTCTGTGAAGTTTCACCTGTAAATCACTTATCTGTACATAAGAACTTCATGGGTAGAGGCAGCCAGAAGTTATATCAACTTCTAGTAATTTCTTAATTATTTTATTTTTCAAGTAACAATACATTCACTCCCTGGAGAGAAGCAGGATTTCATAGGTTTCCAACTCCAAGTCTCATGACACCCAAGCTTCTTATAACTTTTACCTTAATTAATATTTACTGTCAACACAGGTTTGATAGCAACTCTACCACATTTTGATAACTACAGAACAAGGGTTCATGCTCTGCAAACATAGTTGTACTTCAAGAGCCACAAAAATACTTATTCCATTACTTCATTAGACTCAAAGCAGCAGAACTTGTTAAATGTATGTTATATACAATTCTGTACTGGTAGGATGTTCAATATCTAAATGAGTCAGACAACCAAACTGTTTTCTTGAATAGGTAATTCTGAACTGGACACTTTGTTCGATGTCAGTGTGTAATGAAGTACCAATTCACAGCCAGCGTGCCCAGGTTAAAGTCACAATATTAAAAAGAAATGAAATGTCAGTCTCTTAACTCTTAAGAAAAAAAAATAAATTAAAAAAAATAAACAGTCTCAGCATGTTGTAATAGCTACGTTGGAAATGACAACTTCAACAGAAAATTGAGTAAGACACATCTGTTTCTTAAAAACCCCAAACCTCTTCACCACCACCTAAATTGACTACTGCATAAGCAAACCTCCTTCCTCACCACTCTATCCTCCAAAACTGGCTACAGCAAGGCATTCCCATGACCAGAATATGATTTCCATTTTATAGTTCTTTTAACAAATACCAGAAACTGAACGTAGATTTGGCATAATTTTAAGCTTCTTGAAAATACCTGCATCCCCTCAACAGAGCAGTTGGGATACATGGCCCACTAATGCAAGCGTGCTGCCTGCAGACATACAGCACCCCGGAAATGAACAGCAGAGTCGCACATGGAGCAAGTGAGACTTTCTGCTGCCTTCACTGTGCCTGGGAGAACCATGGTGGGGAGGGAAGCAGG